TCCGTGAAAGAATCCAAGTTCGTGGCTCTTTAACTTCATGGTTAATATCTGATTTAAATGACGGGGAACCGCATAACATCGCCAAAATAAAAACCCACGAATTCCAAAGTATGTGCAAAATGTAGAGCTCATCCAGATCTAACGTCCGTGGAAGAAACCAAGTTCGTGGCTCTTTAACTTCATGGTTAATATCTGGTTTAAATGACGGGGAACCGCATAACGTCGCGAAAATAAAAACCCATGAATTCCAAAGTATATGCAAAATGTAGAGCTCATCCAGATCTAACGTCCGTGGAAGAATCTAAGCTCGTGGCTCAACGCCTTCATGGTTAAAATCCGGTTTAAATGACGGGGAACCACATAACGTCGCGAAAATAAAAACCCACGAATTCCAAAGTATGTTCAAAATGTAGAGCTCATCCAGATCTAACGTCCGTGGAAGAAACCAAGTTCGTGGCTCTTTAATTTCATGGTTAATATCTGGTTTAAATGATGGGGAACCGCATAACGTCGCGAAAATAAAAACCCACGAACTCCAAAGTATATGCAAAATGTAGAGCTCATCCAGATCTAACGTCCGTGAAAGAATCCAAGTTCGTGGCTGTTTAACTTCATGGTTAATATCTGGTTTAAATGACGGGGAACCGCATAACGTCGCGAAAATAAAAAAACCCACGAATTTAAAGTTAAAGAGCCACGAACTTGGTTTCTTCCACGGACGCTAGATCTGGATGAGCTCTACATTTTGCACATACTTTGGAATTCGTGGGTTTTTATTTTCGCGACGTTATGCGGTTCCCCGTCATTTAAACCAGATATTAACCATGAAGTTAAAGAGCCACGAGCTTGGATTCTTCCACGGACGTTAGATCTGGATGAGCTCTACATTTTGCATATACTTTGCAATTCGTGGGTTTTTGATTTTCGCGACGTTATGCGGTTCCCCGTCATTTAAACCGGATTTTAAAGGGACACTCCCACCTTAACATTAGTTTTGAGTTGAGATAGCCAAATTGGTGGCCATGGCCTGCAAATACCGGTTTGGGCACTCACAACATCGACAAATGCTTTAATTCGGAGATATGGAATTTCAAACTTGCAGTTTTCGGATTCTAAGGGGCTAGTGCATTGGTATGCCCCCTTAGAATTTTTGACGTCAGCAGAGATCTAACTATTTTTAAATCTTTTACTAAAACGTTTGGTAGCACGCGGTGGTATATGCTGCTTTGCGCGCAACAAATGCCGCACTTTCAAATAAAGTCGCTAGGAACAGCGGAGATCCCAAAAAGTAAACAAAAGTAAAAGCCTAATATTTTGAAAACCGGTGAATATTTTTCGATGAAATTTGGTAGATATTCGTTTTCGCTCTTTCTGAACCGAGCGACATCACTTTCGTGCCAATTCATTAACTTTTTTGAAGGTGGGAGGGTCCCTTTAACCATGAAGGCGTTGAGCCACGAGCTTGGATTCTTCCACGGACGTTAGATCTGGATGAGCTCTACATTTTGCATATACTTTGGAATTCGTGGGTTTTTATTTTCGCGACGTTATGCGGTTCCCCGTCATTTAAACCAGATATTAACCATGAAGTTAAAGAGCCACGAACTTGGTTTCTTCCACGGACGCTAGATCTGGATGAGCTCTACATTTTGCACATACTTGAGAATTCGTGGGTTTTTATTTTCGCGACGTTATGCGGTTCCCCGTCATTTAAACCGGATTTTAACCATGAAGGCGTTGAGCCACGAGCTTGGATTCTTCCACGGACGTTAGATCTGGATGAGCTCTACATTTTGCATATACTTTGGAATTCGTGGGTTTTTATTTTCGCGACGTTATGCGGTTCCCCGTCATTTAAACAAGATATTAACCATGAAGTTAAAGAGCCACGAACTTGGTTTCTTCCACGGACGCTAGATCTGGATGAGCTCTACATTTTGCACATACTTGAGAATTCGTGGGTTTTTATTTTCGCGACGTTATGCGGTTCCCCGTCATTTAAACCGGATTTTATTCATGAAGTTAAAGAGCCACGAGCTTGGATTCTTCCACGGACGTTAGATCTCGTTGAGCTCTACATTTTGCACATACTTTGGAATTCGTGGGTTTTTATTTTCGCGACGTTATGCGGTTCCCCGTCATTTAAACCAGATATTAACCATGAAGTTAAAGAGCCACGAACTTGGTTTCTTCCACGGACGCTAGATCTGGATAACCTCTACACTTTGCACATACTTGAAAATTCGTGGGTTTTTATTTTCGCGACGTTATGCGGTTCCCCGTCATTTAAACCGGATTTTAACCATGAAGGAGTTGAGCCACGAGCTTGGATTCTTCCACGGACGTTAGATCTGGATGAGCTCTACATTTTGCATATACTTTGGAATTCATGGGTTTTTATTTTCGCGACGTTATGCGGTTCCCCGTCATTTAAACCAGATATTAACCATGAAGTTAAAGAGCCACGAACTTGGTTTCTTCCACGGACGTTAGATCTGGATGAGCTCTACATTTTGCACATACTTTGGAATTCGTGGGTTTTTATTTTGGCGACGTTATGCGGTTCCCCGTCATTTAAACCAGATATTAACCATGAAGTTAAAGAGCCACGAACTTGGATTCTTTCACGGACGTTAGATCTGGATGAGCTCTACAATTTGCACATACTTTGGAATTCGTGGGTTTTTATTTTCGCGACGTTATGCGGTTCCCCGTCATTTAAACTGGATTTTAACCATGAAGTTAAAGAGCCACGAGCTTGGATTCTGCCACGGACGTTAGATCTGGATGAGCTCTACATTTTGCACATACTTCGGAATTCGTGGGTTTTTATTTTCGCGACGTTATGCGGTTCCCCGTCATTTAAACCGGATTTTAACCATGAAGGCGTTGAGCCACGAGCTTGGATTCTTCCACGGACGTTAGATCTGGATGAGCTCCACATTTTGCATATACTTTGGAATTCGTGGGTTTTTATTTTCGCGACGTTATGCGGTTCCCCGTCATTTAAACCGGATTTTAACCATGAAGGCGTTGAGCCACGAGCTTGCATTCTTCCACGGACGTTAGATCTGGATGAGCTCTACATTTTGCACATACTTTGGAATTCGTGGGTTTTTGATTTTCGCGACGTTATGCGGTTCCCCGTCATTTAAACCGGATTTTAACCATGAAGGCGTTGAGCCACGAGCTTGGATTCTTCCACGGACGTTAGATCTGGATGAGCTCTACATTTTGCATATACTTTGGAATTCGTGGGTTTTTATTTTCGCGACGTTATGCGGTTCCCCGTCATTTAAACCAGATATTAACCATGAAGTTAAAGAGCCACGAACTTGGTTTCTTCCACGGACGTTAGATCTGGATGAGCTCTACATTTTGCACATACTTTGGAATTCGTGGGTTTTTATTTTCGCGACGTTATGCGGTTCCCCGTCATTTAAACCAGATATTAACCATGAAGTTAAAGAGCCACGAACTTGGATTCTTTCACGGACGTTAGATCTGTATGAGCTCTACATTTTGCACATACTTCGGAATTCGTGGGTTTTTATTTTCGCGACGTTATGCGGTTCCCCGTCATTTAAACCGGATATTAACCATGAAGTTAAAGAGTCACGAGCTTGGATTCTTCCACGGACGTTAGATCTGGATGAGCTCTACATTTTGCATATACTTTGGAATTCGTGGGTTTTTATTTTCGCGACGTTATGCGGTTCCCCGTCATTTAAACCAGATTTTAACCATGAAGATCAGCTCAAAAGTTAAAATAAATGTCATATTCGTGTTCAGCATGGTCAACTTAACCCATGCCATGAATCTGAAGTGATTTGGAATTCGTCGCTGAATACGTATACGTATACGTCGCTAAGTTCACGGACATATATACACTGTGATCCAAGTAGCAAGTACCTATCAGTATCATTGTAGCAGCTGGCAAATCATTCCTAAGATACAGATGCAAAGCATACCAACAACTGAAACCACACATCACTTCTGCAGTGGACTGTACCTAGTACCTACCTACTAAATGAAAAAAAAACAAAAATAGTGATTCCCTCCTTATGCACCATTTTGATTTAAACATTACAGTAAAAAGAACGTGAAGAAATTTGCAAAACAAAAACATTTAAAGAAAGAACATTTCATACGAAGGTTGAATAGTGAGAAGTAGAACACACATCAATACTTACAAGCTACAATGCTTTTACAGAAAACATATATGAGTTACACGCAACACAGACTGAGTCAGGCAAGGTTACCACCCGGCTGTCATGTTACAACTTACATAAAGGTTAGGCCAGATAAGACTGGGTTGTCATTTCATAATTTCAGCATTAAAGGGACTATCCCACCTTTAACATGGGGTTTGAGTTGGGATAGCCAAGTTTGCGGCGAGGTTCAGAAACCATTATCTATCTAGGTTGCAACCCCCGCGGCCTCTTGGTGTTGAAGAAATTCGTTCCCTTCATTTGAAAATGGGCCTTGTACAAGGCCCTATCTTCAACATGGAGCGACCGTTAGTGTGACGTCACCTCGTTTAGTCATTCTGATTTAAATGGGTTTGTTCGTTGAAAAATCGCTTAAAACTTGGTCTGAACTTTGTTGTGGTGCCTACAGAGTAAAAAGAATCAGCTTTATGACAGTAATGTGGCCTGGGGAAGGAGGTAATTTTGGGCTGTGACGTCACGTATTTGAAAGTTTGTGTTTGGAATATGGGAAGCCTAAGATGTTTAATGAAAAATAAATGCCAGAACCGTGTTCCTGGTCATCCAATCTATAAAGTCGGGCACAATTTAACTGGTTTTAACAACATTTTAGAAGGTGGGATAGTCCCTTTAAGTGTGCCAAATTTTTTGCATTAAATGATAATACAAATAAGTTTCTAGGTTCGCGATACAATACAACACAATGTTTGGTGACAATATGGTGTGGTGTTTGTTCAATTTTGCGCATAGGCTGCAAAAGGGGATCTAACAAAAACAATAAAATACACCGACCTTATATTCCACAGTGTAATATTCAACCCCAATCTCCAGTCAAAGGTAGTCCCAGGCACTAGCAAGCTCTGAATTGAATTTATTTGAACTTAAAACAACCTGACGAAGCTGGAAAAATCTTGAATTAACGAATAACGCTTATTCTCTGTTCACCATATACCCCGATCGCAGTATTTGACTAACCAGCATCGTCTATTTAAAGCGAAATATCAACATATGCCGCTGATAGTGTTTTTGAACAAAAATAAATGAAACAGCTACACTTCTATCTGTCGCATAGATAGTACTGCCAGATGAAAAATTCCCTTTAAGAAAATTCCCCTACACATATTACAACATTAGGTACACGAGGCCAGCATTACCGCATTGCATTGCATGAGCCGCAATAAGAAGCATGACATTGAATATCTTGATATACCTATGCTAAATATAGCTGCAATGGACAAACGGAAATAAAGCTATAAACTATATTATGTACTATTTGCTTCATGACGTGTAGGGAAATACTGTACAGTCTGTCATCGTCGTCCATTCCCCAGGTCAATTGGTTCGGTGACTTTCAAATTATAGCGGACCCTTCCTCGGTCAGGTCAGGCTTGATGGATCCTGGATCCACAGTCACCTTGCGCGGCACTTTTAAGAGCTGTACCATAATACAGTACTACATAGTGCCACCCGACCTTGTCCACAAATACAATATACATTTTATCAGGTACCTATTTGTCACTGTCAACCTGACTCCTGCAATGATAGGGCATATTGATTATTGATGCAAATGTGTTGGTGCCTGGTGGCATGGCGGTTGTCCCACCAGTTGAGGCTGCTCACGTCATATCAACCTCAGGAAGAACAAAAGCTCATAAAGTTAAACTAAGACGCGGGCTGCGGCGCGCTCACCATGGACGGCCGGCGCCACTCATTTAGCTCGCGGGTCATAGGCCCCTGGAATGCTCTCCCCGCAAGCAGTCGTATGGGCTACATCAGTCAACCAATTCAAGAACAGGCTGGATGTCCATTGGGCTGAAATCATGCAATGCTTTCCTTCCCGAACCCGAGCCCACCTAACCTATTGAGGCTGACTGTCGGCTGTCCGTGCCTAAACACTGGGAGCTCGCTGAGACCGGACCCCACAGGTTGGCCTCCTACAACCCGATTACCGTTAAGTAAAGTAACGCACGTTATATGCACAAAGCTTGTTATGAATACCCTGACGGTCACCGTAAATCTAAACAGAATGCCGGAAAAATCACAGATCATCGGCCTTTTACACAAACCTTTTCGTACACCAAGCAAAGAAAAGTTTGTACAAGATGCCGGTAATCATTTCAAACTTCTTCTTCAATTTTTGAGGTAGGTACGGTAGCTACCGTACGCACGAAAGCTTCGTGCATACTAGAGAGGTAGCTCAGGTTGGGATTTTGAATAGAAAATCACAATTCTAATTTCTATAGAATAATTATGTTCTGATTGAAAAGTCCCAACCTTCGGATGCTTAGCGTCAATATACTTTTGACTTATTGTAAATTGTTATCTACTGTCGCTATAAAGAGGCAAGAGTGCTGTAAGGAATGCAATGTCATTCTTCTTCACCTCTTCATCTACCGTCTTCGTCGTGACCATCCAGCCTTTATTGCAGTCCAGTGATGCCGGGTCCGCATCATTTCTTTCTTCTTTTTTTTTTGTGTGTCAAGGACGGGAATTATGAAGTGAATTTGAAATATCATTACAAAGGCGCTTTTTTCGAGTCATGTACCGTTTATTGACAGGCGATCATGACATTGTACCATGTCCTTTCACCACGCCAGCTACGTTAGTTGGAAGGATTCTGCAGTCTGCACACAAAATGTAAAACCATATCCATTATTAAATAGAATATAGAAGACGTTATACCAATACAATTGTGGATAAAGACGTCGTGAGCAAGAAACCAGCTGTCGATGCAAGTGCTGCAAAAATGAAAAGAGCAAATCCTTTATCGATACAAGTTCCTGATAGCCAGTACTGTAGGTGACTAACTATAAAAGACACTACGAGTGGATATAATATCAGACACAGGCATATCCCAGGACCCTCACCATTGCACACACTTAAGTAGCATCCGATATAAACCGACAGGCCCACCATTCAGCATATAAAACGCCAGCAAATAGGGAGGCGACATACACGCTAAACAAGGAAACCGATTAAATCGACAAATGACAACACACGCCGCACCACGATGGCAATGTACACACTATACAAGGCAGCCGGTTTGGAAGAGTGGGCGGCCGACCAGTCGCGTACTCTCGGCGTCCGGTCGACGGCAGGTCGCGGCAATGTCTGGTGTCCCGGTCACCGGGGCACTGGCTGCGTACCGAGCCACTGTCGATTATCACAGCCCAGCAGGTCACAAGGGTGCGGCGGCGACGGCACCGCGGCGCGGCGCGCGGACAAAATACTCTGTTTGATCAGACTCGGCAGCAGCACTCGCAGCAGAAACGGCAGCTCTTCGGGCGCCGCTCCCCATAACGGCAAGTAGTGGGTTTGGTTTAAAAATACGACGGAACGTTGAAGCAGGTAAAGTGTCTGTTCAAAAACATCACATTATCTGAGGTATGAATACGGGCACGTTTGGACTACGACACCTAGTTACGTAATTCGTCACGAGCGCTAAGTGGTTATTAGAACTTCACTTGTGTGCACGCCCTTCCGTTAGCAGACAAGAAGAGCAAGTACTGGTAGCTGCGGGATCAAATCAGCCTGAGAACGGGAACAATTGAATGCTGCATTGATTCAGGAGTTGTCATTATCGTGCGGGTGCAAGCCCTCGGGTGTCCGAATCAGGTTACAGGCAAGTATGAGCTGCCTGTGTTTCTACCAAATACCAATAGGAGGCATGAAGTGGTAACGTCAGTTCATTGTTTACAAAACAATCAAAATTAATTCTAGCTCTATCCTCGAAAAACCGGCTGTTTGCATTTTCCAGCGAGAGGACTAGGTAATCAAGAAGTCATTCAGCAGTACCTAAAAAGCCCAAATAAATGGTCACTCAGTCGGACTTCGACGATGCCTCCGAGTGTTTGCGTAGTGTAGCGCCGTAGCTCTCTGACAGACCCGATGCGGAGTACTGGCGGCCAACCTCCCTCCTCGAATGCAGCACTGCCAGCCGCGCCCGTCAGAGAGGCACTGTCGACCGCTACTGTCCGCCGACAGGGCCCGCTGTGGCAGTGTCGCCGGCACCGGACGATGAGCCGGCGCCCGGCCCGGTGTCGCCGCTCCCTCCAGTGCAGGAGATGGGCGCTTCCGTGACGCCCTCCTCGTCCCACGAGTGGCTCTGGACGGAATCATTGAACACAATGTGTGCCTGCGGGGGAGGGGGTAGTAAGGGTCACGGAAAGGTCACTGACTAGGGGGGGGGGGAGGAAGTCACGCCGAGCGCCAGAACCGTATAACCGAACGTGAAATTCCTGTTTACGGCAAAGGTGAGTCTTTACATGTATCTACTGATAAAAAATCCTTTCGGCTTGCGAAGCTACCCTCAAAAGTTTGACAGAGATGCTTGAAGCGTCCGACAAAAGCTCGCACTGCAACACTAACAAACACTCTATTCGGCCAGTTCGCTGCACCAACTGACGATCTAACACAACAAACCGACTGAGACAGAGGAAAAACAGGCATGGCGAAAGCCGACAGCACATCCAACTGAGAACGATAGGTTAGCTGCATCACGGCACCATTGCGAACAGTTTGAATGTAAGGGTCAGTATGCTAGCTACACTATTTTTGGTATAACATATTTTTGGTATAGCGTTTCACTATTGCGGCGTGGATTGCAAAGGCATGCATATTCGAAACTACTACAGTGACACGTTTAACCCGCGCACCGACGGGGGGGGGCGGATATCCGCCCCCCTGAGGTTTTTCGCGAATAGCGGGAAAACCGCGGCGCGTAGCGCCACGAAATTTGGTATGACTATTCCCTCATCAATTTTACACATGGTGTGCAAGTTTGAACCTCCTACCTTTCAAGGTCAGGTCACCAGGTCACTTTGAATGACCCAACCTCAAGTCACTTTTTTGCAACTTTGTCACCGTGCCAGAGCTACAGTAGATGTCGGAGGCCTTTGAAAGTCGCAGGATGTTATTAGGTCATTAGTAGCTACAATTTGTATATCTCGGAATTTTGATATCGGTGACCTAAGGTCAGGTCAATTTCGCGACCTCCCCATTATAAGTCAATGGGGGAAAAATCAACTCCCTGTTTTTACCACTAAAACGGGTCGGAATGGCCCCATATACCATACATGACTTCATATACGATCAACCTTCACTACCTTGAGGTCTGTTTTGCTGTTGGGCAGCTGTGAGGTCATGTGACGTCATCAAAGGTCACCAAAGGTTTTTGGCCAATAACTCCGTACAGGAACAAGATACAGACGCGTGGATGGTCTCATTGTGTTCAGCTCGTCAAGACGCATCGAATGATATATATGATGACCTCGAGGTCACGTGACCTGAGGTCAACCTTTGACCTTGACCTTTCGAGGTCAACATATATATCATTCGATGCGGATTGACGAGAGGATCACGATGCTGCCCTTAGTTTGTTCCTATCTTGACTAATTCGAAAGTTATTCGAGAAAAACTCTCTCCATATCCAGCGCCGCCATTTTGACTTTTTCGACCCCTGTGACGTCATCTTTGACCTGACCTGAAAATGACCTTAGTAAAAATTGTAGATCTTGACCGTGCGTATCCGATGCCGTTTACCGCTTGTCGCTATCTTGCTTCGTTCTCGAGATCTCAGGGGGGGGGGGGCGGTCATCCGCCCCCCCCCGTCGGTACGAAGTTGGCGCAGACCCCCGTCGGTGCGCGGGTAACCCTATTAGTGGCAGGGGGGGGGGGCTGTTTACGACCCCCCTCGATATCTCGAGATCTAACGGGCCGATTTTCAAAATTAAAACGGCATTCGATTTCGCTTAACGTGATCTACATTTCTAAAAAATAAAAATTAAAAAATGTCAATAGGGGGGGGGGGGTAGAGGGGGGGGGGGTAAAAACGGGCAAATTGCAGATACATTTTAGACTGTTTATCACGGCCAGGTTTCTGAACCAATCTTAACGCAACTTTTGCCGATCGATAGAGAATGAACCAGGAATTCACATGGATCCTAAAAATATGCATTTTCAAAAATCATAGGCGGATGCAGATCATTGAGATTGGGGGTACACAAAAAGTATAGTGAATAAGGTTGTTGTTGGTACTGTTTCTAAAAAGGGTGGGAATGGTCTTGTTATGTTACAATTTTCTTATGAGAGGACGACTACAATTGTATTGGTCATGCATATGCGGTGTCAGGGCACCTATGTTGGGAGGTAAAACATAAAAAACCTTTTTGGACGCCTGGATCCGCCTATTACAGCAAAAACGTCAAAAGAGGATGCACAATAACTTTGTATATGTTATCACATGATACCTTTCATTCACTGTTCGTAAAACTGGTGCATACAGCTATAATACATCAGCATCGTGATCTTCGCCCAAATGACTCGCTTCACGAATAGGACCCCCCAATTCCCAGTGCTCTGGAGCCGCCCCTGGTAAAGTTATGAACTTGAAATTTTCAGGGAATGTGCCCAATTTAGTTTTAGGAAAAGTCAGAAAATTTCAGCATCGTAGCTTCAGCGGTTTCGGAGATATTCCCGAAAAACCTGAGGGGTGGATGAAAACAACCCCCCTGCCACTAATAGGGTTAATACCCCACATGACCCCGAAGACGGGCGTTATAGCCGACATCACCCTTCCAGAAAAGTAATTTTCAGCGGACCTTTCATCACTAAAGTAATTTGCAATTTGCTAAGTAAAAGTAATTTGCATCGCTAGAGAAGAAGCCGTCTTGATCGGAAAAAGGCGTAGTCAAACCAAATAAGTGTGGAAGCCCGTCAATAATTTAGTTTGAATAAGATCAGAGAAACGGCTGCACGCCGGTGTCAAATGATTTAATCGAGACACCAATTTATTGTGCCGATCGAGAGGTCCATTAACGCAATTGACCTAGCTTCGAGATTGAGCAGAACCTCAAGACCGACCACTCCGGACCGAGAAAAATACATCTGAATAAAATAAGGAATCTTTAAGCTATATCATTAACACTCAGTGCTCATGTCCTGGAAAAGTAAGGGGTTAGTCATGCGGTCGAACAGAGAAGCCTGAACCACATTCGGAACTACCTCTATTGCATGTCTAGGACATTTTCCCCGACCATTGCTCGATTGGGATAGGTGCCTGGATGTGCTAAAATCCCACCTAGGATCGGATCGGGATACTGGCTGGGTATTTGTCAGTCAGTTTAGCTTTCTTATCCGTCAGGTTAGCGTGCTTCCCCAAGCGAGCCGCCATTATCGCACCAAAAAGCGCAGGAACCATCACAGTCCATCATAAACAAATCCGCACCCATGCATCCCCATTCCCCAAACATTCACAGAAGCACACCCGCGGCAGCCACGAGCACGCAGTAGCCCGAAGCCAGCCATCTGCGCGCGGCACTCACACAGTGTATTAGTCCCTGTGAAGCTTCCGCTAGGCGTCGCCAGCTTTAACTGCGGTCAAGGTCTTCGTAGCCGCGGAACCTCCGACGCACGGCCCACTACAGGGAAGCGGGGGGATCGCCCGGTGAGACACGGAGAGCGGAGCGAGGCGGTATACAGATCACGACCCGGGCTCGCTGTGGTGTTACGTGCCAGTGCAGGACGACACACGGCTTACTCAGAGAGTGCAGACAGACGGACAGACAGGAGGCCGCCTTCACACGATTAGGGAACGATGGTGGGTAGCATTTACTGGCAAACTCCATGCAAATACTTTACACATATGATTCAAAATAATTCAGCATGCAGTTTGGTCCTAAATCATGACTGACTTACCATACAAAATCGTTCAATACGACAGCTGTTATTTACACATGACATCCTACAGCGTTCAGAGCAGGCGCCGCCCCACTCCTGCCGCCACTGGCCCAGCTGTCTCACCCTGATCCGGTCGAAGCCGGGTCCTCCCATGGCGCCGTACAGCAGGGTGGTGAGGTAGCCGATGAAGCCGACGTAGGCCACGCCGCCGACGGCCAGCATCAGGTCGGCCCACCACACGGCCGGCAGCGTGTCACGCACGTACGACACCACGAAGAAGATGTTAATGCCCACCACCAGCGCCGAGAGCACGCTGGCCGCTATCTTCATCGGGCTGTCGACAACAGAGGGGTGGTCAATGGACTGGGGGAGGAATCAGGTCGGTGTGGGACGGTTTGACAGATAGGCAGACATGCGAGTGCAACTACAGGCTGAGGATATTGCACTATTTTTACGGGGATTACAGCGATTCTTACGGGTATCACAAAAAATACGGGAATCAAGGACTCGTGCTTTCTTAACTTATTCCTATGCGGATCAAATTACACACTTTTCCCTGGGGTCGAAAGGCGTTGTTGTCGTTATTCTAACTTGTCTACAACTCACGTGCCGTTCCGGAACTCTCCCATGATCTGCTCGGAGCTGGTGAACGTCAGGGTGGGCAGCAGCGCGAACGGCAGCTGCAGGCTCATCAGCGCGTTCAGCAGGTCGTTCATCCCAGTTAGGTCGTTAATGTCCTGAAAAAATCGACCCGTGAAAGCCAGAGGGTGTGAGGACGGTAGAACGCATCCTACAATCATGGACGCTACGTCGGTAAAACGATAGAGCAAAAGCAACTGATGCGTCTCGCTTGAATGTTTGTAGTACGAAGTTCGTAATACGAAGTTCGATGATTCGTAATACGCTAACTGAAAAGTACGCATTTCACTAACCTCTTCCGCTCACAACATCAATGGCTCATTACCAGCAAAGTGTTCAGATTGTTGCGACCTCTACCACGCAAATGCTCGTACATACAAACAAATAGGTATGTTGCACTTGAAGTTGCAAATCCACTACACGAACCGTATTGGTGACTCGGCAGCCGTACCTTGTACACAGCAATGAAGAACGTGGGTAGGATGGCGATGGTTCGGGTCACGAGAACTCGCTTCCATTTGGGCCAGGTCAGGTTCAGAAAACCCTGAAAGAATAAACAGTTGGTTAGTGATGACAAGAAAAAGGCTACTTGCTAGAGTAGCTTGTCAGAGAGAAAAAAATGACAGTAACTGCCGTCTGCCAATATCGCCAGTGCTGATAAAGTAATCATACTGGAGCATATTCGGCGAGCGCTGAATAAACAACTGTCCATCGCTTGCATTCAGATCGCCCACCAAGCTCTGTTCCAACTACCTGATACATACTGATACATACATACATGCATACATACATACATACACCTCATACATAGTCGCGGTTTTGCCATGGAATTCGACCCGACCTTCATTTCAATAGGTGTTTGGGAGCGTTAGTCGATAAGACTGTCTCTAATCGATAGCCACCAGCTGTTGATTGTCGCACGTTGAACCGTCCCAGCCGCGGAGTTAGCGACACGCCGCCGGCGTTCGGCTGCCGCTGTAGACGATAAGCGTTACCAGGCCACCATGAGACGGACTCAACGAGCCCAGAGGATTTCCTTGTCTTATCGGCCGTGACTGGCTCCCCGGCCGTCACCAATGCGATAGGTGACTGTCCGATTTTCTGCTTATCTAAGTGCTGAGTCAAACGTGCAGAATGATAGGTAAGATGCGCTAGCTGAATGATGAGCTTTTCTGATAGCACGCGACCACTTGACACCGGACTCTGTGACCCCTGCTGCCAACAGTCTTTCGTCAGCAGCTTTCAACCTTCTATGAACATTGGACAACACGGCACCAATCGCTGCACGAACAAGGCTCCGTTGCTAGACGACCGGGTCGCTCGCATTTCAGTGAAGTGCAGATGAAGTGCCGACTCGAGTGTCAAATTTCCTTCCCATCCCCAATCTGGTGTCCCACTTGAAACATACGATGTTATTGACCTAAAGCGTGTGATTATGACGGGTAGTGACCGGACGGGTAACTTAGAGTGATACTCGAAGAAAGTAGCAGTTTCCTAAAACGATCTAGCGAGAATATAACTGTACTAGACTTACTGTCCTAGAACCAATGCTTCCCATCAATCATGACTCATTTTTGAGCGATCGAGCTCAAAACTGAATAATAATTAACTTCACGACACGCAACATCTGCCTTTTGTTTCTTTTCCTAAAATAAAAAGACAAAAATTCCTACTTAACGATTAGCTGAAATACTCTGTTTTACAGCTGTAAAAGTTGCGTTTTACGTAGAACTAGAGGTACAGGTTTGCGCGATAACTGTATGTTTTGATTAATTATATGTGACGGATGCATTAGTTTGGGTGAGTAGCTTGTATTTTTAGCTGTATTATTTGGGTAGATTTGGGTAGCAGTTTTTAATATAATAGCGATAGTTGCGGGGTGTCCAAGTCTTTTGTATGTTAGGCCCTTTTTTGACTCAACCCTACCCCTACCCTACCCCTTCCCTACCCTACCCCTACTCCTACCCTACTCCTACACTACACTACACTACACTACACTACACTACACTACACTACACTACACTACACTACACTACACTACACTACCCTACCCTACCCTACCCTACCCTACCCTACCCTACCCTACCCTACCCTACCCTACCCTACCCTACCCTACCCTACCCTACCCTACACTACCAGCGACAGTCCAAGTTTCAGCTAAATCGGCCCAGAAACGGCTGAGATGTTGCAAAAATAAATTAAAGGGACCCTCCCACCTTAACATTAGATTTGAGTTGAGATAGCCAAAATGGGGTCCCTGGCTCACAATTACCGGTTTCGGCACTCACAACATCGAGAAATGCCTTAAATCGGAAATATTGAACTTCAAAATTGCAGCATTTTAATTCAGAGGGGCTAATGCATAGGAATACCCCTCTGAATGTGTGACGTCATCGCAGATATCTAACGATTTTTAAATGTTTGACTAAAACGTTTTGTAGCACGCGGTGGTATATGCTGCTTTGCGCGCAACAAATGCCGCACTTTCAAATAAAGTCGCTAGGAACAGCGGAGATCCCAAAAAGTAAACAAAAGTAAAAGTCTAATATCTTGAAAACCGGTGAATATTTTTCGATGAAATTTGGTAGATGTTCGTTTTTGCTCTTTCTGAACCGAGCGACATCACTTTTATGCCAATTCATTAACTTTTTTGAAGGTGGGAGGGTCCCTTTAATTGTATTTTCTGGTGAATCCCCTTGGCCAGCGGTGCCTTGTGTCGGCCTTCGTTGTCAAAGGTCAATGACCTGCCGGGTCTGATTATTTCCACTCAGTTTTTTAAGCGAACAACTGAGCCTAAAGCACGCGCCCTCTGCTCGGCGCCGGTCGCGGCCCCACCACGTGCACACCGCTGAACCCGCACCCTCGAAAAGTTGATACGACAAATGGGTGCACGCATCCGACTTACAGCGAAAATTTCAGCCCCGTAGTCCTCACCGTTCCCGAGCAATAACGTGTTTTTCCCAATTCTAATGTTAACCCTATGGGCACGCGAGCACGCGCCAAGGGCGCACCCCCGGCCGCACCATGCCCAAAATTTAATACGACCTACGTGTAAAGGTGGCCCACATCTCTGCAAAATTTCACGGCCGTAGTTCAACAGATGCCGCTGCAATAAGCGCTACAAAGTGCGTACGTCGCACACGGCGTGGGCGGCGGGGTACTTTTTAGGATTTATAATATAGACTAGAGGTACAGATTTACGCGATAACTGTATGTTTTGATTTATGTTATGTTACGGGTGCATTAGTTTGGGTGATTGACTTGTATTTTTAGCTGTATTATTTGGGTAGATTTGGGTACCTGTTTTTAATTTAACTGTAAGGCGGGCCCGGGCAGCGCTTGTCGAACAGCACTGCGGATCCGAAGGTTGGGACTTGAATTGTGAAAAACCGCCCGCCCGCCGCAAAACGCAAACACCGCAAAACGCGCAAAACGCCAACGCAAACTTCGCAAAAAAGAAACAATCGCCCGCCCGTCGAAACCCGCAGAAAAAAACGCAAAAAAGCCGCAAAAAACGCCCGTCCGCCACAAAACGCAAACACCGCAAAAAAACGCAAACACCGCCGCCGCAAAAAAAGCCCGCATCGCCCGCCGCCAACCGCGAAACGCCGCAAAAAACGGCCGCCCGCCGCAAACCGCAACACCGCAAATAACGGCCGGCCGCCGGCAACCGCAAAACGCCGCAAGCAAAAAACGGCCGCCCGCCGCAAACCGCAAAAAACGGCCGCCCGCCGCAAACCGCCGCAAAAAAAAGGCCGTCCGCCGCCAAACGCAGACACCGCAAAAACACCCGCAACGCCCGCCCGCCCGCCGCCGAACAAACACCGCAAAAACGCAAATACCGCCGCAAAAAAACGCCCGCAACGCACGCCCGCCCGCCTACCCTACTCTACCCTACTCCTACTCTACCCTACTCCTACTCTTCCCTACCCCTACTCTACCCTACTCCTACTCTACCCTACTCCTACACTACCCCTACTCCTACCCTACCCCTACCCCTACCCCTATCCCTACCCTACTCTACCCTACCCTGCTCTACCCTACCCTACCCTACACTACACCACCACCGATAGTCCAAGTTTCAGCTAAATCGGCCGAGAAACGGCTTAGATATTGCAAAAACAAATTAATTGTATTTACTGCTGAATCCCCTTGGAGAGCGGTGCCTTGCGCCGGTATTCATTGCCAAAGGTCAATAATCTGCCGGCTCTGATTATTTTCACTCAGTTTTGCAAGCGAACAACTGAGCCTAAAGCACGTGCCTTCTGCTCGGATACGGTCGCGGCCCAATCACGTGCACACCGCTTAACCAACCCCCTCGAAAATTTAATACGACAAATGAGTGCACGCGTCCGACTTGCAGTGAAAATTTCACCCCCGTAGCCCTTACCGTTCCCGAGCAATAGCGTGTTTTTGCCGATTCTAATGTTAACCCTATGGGCACGCGAGCACGCGCCGCGGGCGCACCCTCGGCCGCATCATGTCCAAAAGTTAATACGACCTACGAGTAAAGGTGGCCCACATCTCTGTAAAATTTCACGGCCGTAGTTCAACAGATGCCGCTGCAATAAGCGCTACAAAGTGCGTACGTCGCACACGGCGTGGGCGGCGGGGTACTTTTTAGGATTTATAATATAGACTAGAGGTACAGATTTACGCGATAACTGTATGTTTTGATTAATTATATGTGACGGATGCATTAGTTTGGGTGAGTAGCTTGTATTTTAGCTGTATTATTTGGGTAGATTTGGGTAGCTGTTTTTAACCAATTTATGCCCAGGAATATTGACCATCATGAAAATCGACGAAATCAAAATGTTATGCTCTTACCAGGGCCTTGCATGGAATCGAAAATAATTTTCGCCTGCAGCAAAAGTTTTTCGAGAAAAACGTAAAAAACATGCGTTGCGAAATCGCAACGAAGGGCACACCGGGCGCCATCAGCGTTGCGAAAACGCAACGACGGGCACATCAGACGGACATAAAGTACACTGAACTGCCGTATATGCTAATATGTTTTGACAAAACATCAATCAGCTGTTGACAACTATTGCTTGAAAATGCGGAACCCACATCCGTCATGCTTTATAACCCGCCTAAGAGCCTCAGTGAGGAAGCATAACTTCATGATTCGCGAACGGGGAGGTGGCAACACGGTCATTATCAACCATTTACGTTGTCCATTGCTGTTCATTTAAAGTTGTAGTCGACACGTATCCAGGGTGATGCTTTCTTTTGGAAGCTAGACAGAGCCATTACCCCCCCCCCCCCCCTATCAGACCCCACACTGAATACAATTAAACGGAGGATTGGGAGTAAACCAGTACCTCACGTATGCGCGTATATCCGCAATCATTGTTAACCACCCTCCTAGGAGTAAAGTTAAATTCCATTGCAGGTTAGTCGTACCCACTCTCAGCAAAAAGAAAAGAAGGGCCGATCCGGCTCTAACAAATTACCCGCGTAAGGCGTTATAGCGCATCACAACAAATCGACTCCCAGTTTATCATGTTTACACCTAATCCAAAATTTTCATGGCCCCACTCTCAGCGACCTTCACGTATAACCTCTTTCTCGAGACAATACCAGGACAGAATGGTGATTCGACGTCAATCCGTCCTTTCCATCTTCAGGATAGTTTAATCCTCCTCCACGCCTCAACCCCCTGTTCCGGGCTGGACCGGCAACGTATATCGCAATCGGGCAGCTCACATAGGAGCGCGCCTGTAGCCGGGTGCAGCGAGTGCTTGGGAGGGGGAAGAGGGTGGGTCATGGGTGGCCTGCCCACTGGCTGGGCTCAGTCTCCAGTCTACGATTAACCGTGTCCGGTCAGACAAATGTCTCCCCTAATTCCAATAATCCTGCTAGCTCTAAAAATGGTCTGATTAGATAAAAAGCCTATCAAAGTAAGAAAACAAGCGTATACTCCACATCAAGCAGCTTATGAATCTATGCAAGTTATGAATCCTAACAATTATTATTTTCCCAGGTCCGCCCTCATTACCCCTGCCGATGGGCTCAGCTACCCCCAGAGGGGGCCTATCCCACTATTTGCCGACCCTCAGTTATCTTTTCTAACGTAAATGTTGGTAGTCAGCAGATTCTATCCAGAGAATAGCGATGCCCATCTGTCGCCTGCGATACAAGAATACATCCCCGTTATTCATTACATATGCACAATGTACATAGTAGATCCAATTTCCAAAGGACCTAATTATCTCTCAGCTCCGTTAGCATCGCCGACCGTTTGATGCCGACCGTTTGATGCCTACCATGCGATTTTCAGATGCATGGGAACGCATTGCTTAGTGAACGAACAGCCCGAGGCCGATAATCTGCGAGAGAAAAAGAAAGGAGTGTTTGTGGCTGTTTGAACCAGCAAATATGAAATGTGTCGCAACATTTTACGTGCGAACGCACCTTGCACTAAACATACCTATACACGTCCCTCATGGCATAGGCGGCGGAGCGGGGGAGGGGGCACCGGGGCACCGTGCCCCCCTTCATTTTGCCATTTTAACATTATCCCTATAGGCGTTGCATGGAAATGGAAATGGAAAGAATGGGACCAGAAGTCGGCAGTGCCCCCCCCCCCCTTAATTGAAGATGTTCCGCCGCTACAGCCTCTGGCTACAAAATGAGAGAGAGAGAGAAAGAAAGAGAGAAAGAGAGAGATAGAGAGAGAGAGAGAGAGAGAGGGAGAGAGAGAGAGAGGGAGAGGGAGGGAGAGGGTTGGGGAACGAGGAGGAGAGGGAGGAAGATGGGGGAGAGAAAGAGAGAACCCACAGCGTAGCACGAGTGAAGTCTATTGTTGATATTCATACTTCCGCTACCCTGCCAATGTGCCCATCGTTGCGTTTTCGCAACACCGCTGTCTTTCCGATGTGCCCTTCGTTGCGTTCCCGCAACGCGACCGTAGTCATATTTGAAAATAGTCACAAACCCTTTTTGTAACATTATTTCTTAACAAAATGCATATCTACGCTATTGTAGGGACTCTGCAGAATATGTTTACACAATTTTCATTACGATATTATTAAGTACTTAGCCTACTTATCTTGGTTTTCGTGACGTCATCACTCACAAAACCTTTGACTTCCCTCTGGGAGCTCTAGGCAGGAACTTACCGGCCGCACAGACTTGTAACTGCGTAGCATCATGCGCACAACCATGCTACACACGCTGAAACTTGTCTCATCGGTTAGTCTCTTTTACACACTTCTCAAGCTTCGATCACGTCGACGCTTGCTTGCGTTGCGAAAACGCAACGAAGGGCGTAAATGGGTTAATATAATAGCGATAGTTGCGGAGTGGTCAAGTCTTTTGTATGTTACGCCCTTTTTTAACTCAACCCTACCCCTACCCTACCCCTACCCTACCCTACCCCTACCCTACTCCTACACTACACTACACTACACTACGCTACACTACACTACCCTACCCTACCCTACCCTACCCTACCCTACCCTACCCTACCCTACCCTACCCTACCCTACCCTACCCTACCCTACCCTACCCTACCCTACCCTAGGCCCTATTTTAACTCAACCCTACCCCTACCCTACCCTACCCCTACCCCTACCCTACTCCTACACTACACACTACACTACACTACCCTACCCTACCCTACCCTACCCTATCCTACCCTACCCTACCCTACCCTACCCTACCCTACCCTACCCTACCCTACCCTACCCTACCCTACCCTACCCTACCCTACCCTACCCTACCCTACCCTACCCTACCCTACCCTACCCTACCCTACACTACCAGCGACAGTCCAAGTTTCAGCTAAATCGGCCCAGAAACGGCTGAGATGTTGCAAAAATAAATTAATTGTATTTACTGGCAAATCCTCTTGGCGAGCGGTGCCTTGTGTCGGCCTTCGTTGTCAAAGGTCAATGACCTGCCGGCCCACTCAGTTTTTTAAGCGAACAACTGAGCCTAAGGCACGTGCCTTCTGCCCGGCGCCGGTCGCGGCCCCACCACGTGCACACCGCTGAACCAACCCCCTCGAAAATTGAATACGACAAATGAGTGCACGCGTCCGACTTGGCTTGAAAATTTCACCCCCGTAGCCCTCACCGTTCCCGAGCAATAGCGTGTTTTTGCCTATTCTAATGTTAACCCTATGGGCACGCGAGCACGCGCCAAGGGCGCACCCCCGGCCGCATCATGCCCAAAAATTAATACGAGCTACGTTTAAAGGTGGCCCACATCGCTGTAAAATTTCACGGCCGTAGGTCAACAGACGCCGCCGCAATAAGCGCCACAAAGTGCGTACGTCGCACACGGCGTGGGCGGCGGCGGCGGGGTACTTTTTAGGATTTATAATATAGATTGCCTACATAACGAACTGTAAAAAGTTACCTCCATGACGAACTGTCCCGAGTAGGTTCCGGTCATGGTGCTGCTCTGTCCCGCCGCCAGGATGCCCACCGCCCAGATGTAGAGGCACGCCACGCCGAACTGGCAGCCCAGGAACACGCCGCCCTTGAACAGGTCGGCGTCCACCAGCTCCGTGTTGTTCTGTGGACAGCGTGAACCGGCGTGAGATGCTAGTGGACAATGGAGGCGAGAGCACAGCACGCGCGAAAATATGAAACCCACAGGATAAAACGTAAGGAAGCCGGCTCTTCCTAATCGAGAATATGGAATCTGTTATCTGAAGAGCGAGTTATATAAGACTTGCCGTGTTACATGTGATGATTCAGGTTGCAGAAGACAGAATTGCAAACGTGGTTATACTTTAATGTCGTTATATTACTATTCTATTTTTTTTTTTTTTACTATTCAACAAGCTTCATGACTAAGTTCATCAACAAGCTCCATCGTTCACGAGATTCAAAGTTATATAACATGACAAGCGTCGCAAGGCAGAGGCATCAAAATATGCCGGGCCCCATCCAACACTGCCAATGGACGTGCTCATGATACTGCTCGCAGTTCACCGTTCAGTGCCGTGCCCCGTCTTACGGAGAAACTCATTATCTCCTGCCCTGTCCACTCATGACGAAACATGTTCAGCCCCGCGACGTCCCGTCCACTCACGGGGAACGTGTCCGGATACATAGTATCCAGTCCGGTGCCCTTGCACACGTCCACCACGTCCTGGTTGGTCTTGTTGAAGAGGCCGTAGGCGAACACGGCCACCACGAAGACGTTGATGATGAAGGAGACCAGCAGCGCCAGACACGACTCGATAAAGTAGTAGTAGTTGGCCTCGCGGATCCGAGAGCGACGCGTCCGGTCCACGTGCCGAGACTGGGGCCGGATGGGAGGTCAGTCAAAATCGGTCAGCGGAGGCCTCAACCATAGACCTCCACATACATACGGTATGTAGAGGTCTATCTCTCAACGTTCGCTTACCAAGAAATCGAAACTATATTCAAGTGAAACCATAACTAACGGGCTAACGGCAATTTCACAATCAACCATGAGTGAATAATGAGTAACGCTTGGCAGCCGATGTCAGCTGTCCAACGATGTCCATTATTGCTCCACTGATCAATCAAATTAACATGCCAACACACGTCAAGTTAATAACAAGCACAGCGACTCAGGCAGATGCAGTGCCTGAAACCTCAACAAAAACAAACGTATACGGTGAATGATCACGCGACATTGAAAACAGCACGACATGGCGTCAACTGACATTGTTGTGTAACGATAAGCTCGGATCGGCCGGTTCGTTACCTTGACGAGCGCCGAGTGCAGGTAGAGGTTGTGCGGCATGATGACGGCTCCGATAATACCGACCGCCTGCAGCAGCGAGCGGCTGTCGCAGCCCGAGCAGCCCGGTATGAACATGCCGCTGATGACATCCGCCTGGGGCGGCGACACGACCACGTACTGCCGGTAGCGGTGGGGACGGGACGGGAGGTGAGTCTCAGTGAGGGTTAGTTGACTCAGTGAGTTCGGTGAGTTGACTCAGTGAGTCCGGTGAGTCGTCTCAGTGAGTTCGGTGAGTAGTCCGGTGAGCCACTCACCGTCAATAGTCGTCCTCAGTCGCAGTTTATTCCTTTCTTTTCTGTTGTTTGTTGAAACAACTGACATAAATCACACTACCCCACATTATATAACTTCATATTACGTAATAAGTCCGAATGTGACGGTAGTGCTGCAGCCCATCGAGCCAGGCGGCCCACTGACGCACCTCATAGCCGAACATGATGCCCATCACGGCGATGAGGAAGCAGAAGAAGGCCTCCAGCTTGCGCATGCCGTACTTGTCCACCAGGAGAAAGGTGAACGTGTCACAGACGGTGATGAGCACTCCGCCCCAGAGAGGAATCCTGCGGCGGGAGACGAATGGCGTTATATGGACAGGAATGGCGTCAAACGGTGGCAGCCTGATAGTTAAAAAAGGTTTGCTGCAAGACTGTATAAACATAAAAGACATTGGCACGTAGTCAGTCAGGTAGTGTGCCAGCTTTCCTGGACCGTATGGAGTTAATGGCCCAGATAAGGAGAACCGGATTTTTAGAACTTATCCATACCTTCAAAACTCATGGAAACGTCTTAAATTCTTCAAATTTTGAGTACCCCAGTGCGAAATTCACCCCGACGGGTTGTCGGTCGTACCCCAACCACATTTCACACCACTATGAACAATAAATGCACACACTGAAATCGCTATTACCGATATGCTCATCCAATCAAGTTTCGATAAACCCGTTCATCGTCATCTCCTGCGGTTTCGAACACGCCTGTTAGGTGGTGCGGTAGACCGCGCCCAAAGCCAGGGCCCCGGTAACGTGAGGTAGCCGAGTCGGGGCAGCGTGTGCTGACCCAAGCCGGGGCCGCGCGTCCTCCCGGTGTCATGTGATAGCCCGGGGCTGCCCGCGGGGATGCGGTAGACCGCGCCCAAAGCTGCGGCCCCGGCTTGGGTCAGCGCACGCTGCCCCGACTCGGCTACCTCACGTTACCGGGGCCCTGGCTTTGGGCGCGGCTTCTGCTCATACTTTGTGGTGCGGTGGTGGTGCGTCGGGCCGCGCGCTCTGACTTCGGCCAAGAAAAATGCGTCAGCTGATCATTGTCATTTCTGCCACTTGCGTGTGGTGAAATGGGGTCATAACTTAAGAGACGGCTTTTTCATATCAATTATTTTACATAAAATCATATTTCAAACCATAAATAATGTTCGACAGCCAAATAAAAGAAACAATACCAATACAGGCTTACAGTTTAAGGCTCGACATTGTGTTGTCTACGATTAGACAGCTGATAACTCATTCCCGTACGTCGTAACTCTATAATGACCTTTGCTTATTGTCACATGTGCGCCGCATTCGCGATTGTTGCCGACGCCTGTTTGCAGGTGAGCCCACTACAGTTGTTATACATATAAAAAACCGATAAACTTTTAGGCGAAAAAGGCACTATTCCAGGCCCATTTTTGATTTTTTTTGCGATATTAGGTAAAAACAGAAGCTTCTTATCCTAGGAAAAATAAAATGGGAAATCTTTCAAAGGTGGCACACTACCTTTAAAAGTACCGCGCAACAGTGAGACGCATTCATCAAGCCTGACCGAGGAAGGGCCTGCTATAATTTGAAGGTCACCGAACCAATTGACCTGGAAATGGACGAGGATCTTATTGCTTCGGTGACTCAAATTTAGCAGTCCTTCCACGGTCGGGCTTGATGGATCCCTTCACTGTTGCGAGGTACTTTTAAGACTGACTGTGCAATCCCAGATCCCTACCTGCCTACCTGGAAATATTAGGTTTGTTCCCTAGATATTTGACAGAAAACGGTGCTTGTTTAGATCGTGATATTTTTACTCAATGTGGCCTGCGACCGACTGGGATGGCGGCAACACGGGATATTGGACCGTTATAGAAACGTAAAACCTAGGTACGGTTTACCGTCATCCCATTACTAAGTCATTTTTCACTGTTCAATAGTACAATCAATGAACGAACTCCTGCAACTCACAGTTTATTGGAGAGCATGTAGAGCGCGATGGAGGTGCCGATGACCTCCTGCATGTCGGAGCCGATGATGGCCACCTCGATCATGATCCAGAGGGCGAGCCGCGCCGGCTTGGGGTACTGGCGGTGACACACCTCGGCCAGGTGCATGCCGCTCACCACGCCCAGCCGAGCGGCCAGACGCTGCGCCATCAGACCGAGAACGGTGGCAGAGAGCAGCATCCACAGCAGCTGAAACAGGGTAATTCTCCGTCAGAGAGCAGCATCCAAAGCAGCTGAGACGGATAGGCCCGACATCAGACATTGGTTGATAATGGACCGGCCCTTCATCAGAGGCGGCATCTTGGCAAGCAACAGAGTGAATGCAACAGCTTCATAGCGCATATCTGGTTCTGTATCATATGTGATTATGTCCATACCAGCCCTGAACATCAACGTAGCATCAGCAAAACTTTGCGTTTCACCAAAGCGCATTGTAGTCACCTAAGCACTGCCGTAAGGTCCGCCGGGTTACCTTGTAGCTGGCCACGGTGCCCGACTGAAGGTCGGACTCGATGTTGCCGGGATCCAGGTAGGCGATACTCATCAGGAACCCCGGGCCAGTAAAGGCCCACAGCTTACGCCAGCTGAACCATTTCTCCTGGTGGAGACAAACACGAATAAATTAAATGTATACCCTCGGAGCTAAGTGCGTGTACTTAAACTCGTATTAACAGGATAGTGCGATGGTATACTTTATTTAACACGGAAAATAGCGTACCTATGTATATACTATACGTATCATCGGATTACATTTCAACTCTTAAGGACCTATACCTGCTATTCTCAATCATGTAGCCAAATAACCCGCATGAGACCTAAACACAAAGTACTGTACAGTCAGTCTTGAAAGTACCGCGCATCGGTGCGGTGAATTCATCAAGCCCGACCGAGGACAGGCTGCTAAATTTGAGAGTCACCGAACCAGTGCACACCCTCATCCATCCCTTCGGTCAATTGGTTCGGTGACTCCCAAATTTGGCAACCCTTCATCAGTTAGGCTTGATGGATCCACCGCACCGATGCGCGGTACTTTCGAGACTGACTGTACACTTGGCATTCCCGGCATTTACACGCACGAGCGTAAACACATACCAAACAGCACCCCTCCCCCTCCCCTCCCCAGCGGTCGGCGTCCAGGGGTCACTGACCTCCTCTCCGGGCGGCACCTCCACCCGGTTGTCGGCGAAGTACGTGTCGAGCACGGTGGGCGGCTGCGGCGACAGCGGCTTCATGATCCGCGGCGTGTCGCCCGAGCTGCCGTCGCTGCCGGCGGCCGACGACGCGTCGCGCCCGTCGTCAGCGCGCTCCTCGTCTCGCAGATCTTCGTGCGCCATTGCCTCGGGTTAGACGGCCGCGTGCCGGCGCTGTGGTCAAAGGCAGGGGTTGGAACATTATATTTACGTCATCAGACACTCCACAACACGGTGGCTATTACGTGTCAATTGTCAGTGAATAAAACGGTTGGGGAAGTCGAAAGGTACACGGCAAACAAGTAACAACAATCATCCGCCGAAACAGCACACACACGTACGCACAATCACTCCAAATAAAAGAAACGTTTCGCTGCCGGTTTAAAAGCCGCTGGCTCGAACATTGGTTAGAACATAGCAACGGTCGGAAAAGGAGCAGATGTCAGATGGAATTGTGCACAGTGCAAAGATACTGGATCAACCTCAATAGAAAGTGGCGTTGTCTGTCACGAATGCAGCATTATATCAGATATCACACAGGCCGCAGCCAACTATCAAGTGTACACCCCAGACCAAAAACCAACAGCTCCTCATTATCCTCATTATACCCAGCTATGGTGTTCGCGTTTGAATCGCTGTCCGATCCAGACGCTAACCAAACTACCCGGACGCGTTTCCCGTCTCTTTTTGTATTCCTCCCAGCCCGGAGAGACTCATAGATCGGTCCTATCTCTGGTTGACATCGGTCGCCGTTTGCTGCCCGGGGTCAGCGGACCGGTCCGTCGGCCCAAAAAAGAGAGACCACGCGGCCGGCTAGCAGCCTGAGGAACTGTCCGGACAGACTCACTGCGCCGCGTGGTAGGCGGAACCGAAAATAGCTTCATCTGAGAGAGCATGCACATAAATTTGCAACACGGTATGCTAAGTCATGACGGCTTCCCAGCCCGCAATATGTAGATACATCAAATTTGCGAGAAAAAACGATGCTGCAGATAAGGGTACCTACACTCGTAGAAACAGTTTGGGAGATTACCTCATAGACCTCGTCAGATCAAAATTACCTAGGCGGAGGCATAAGGCTTAGGAATTCAAGGGACAAAACTGGAAGACGTTTATATATAAATCAACCGCACAGCAAAGGTCTCGACATTATCCCAACTCCCGCACCTACTGCAATTCTCGATGCGAAGTGGGATTCTCGATACCATGAACTCACGGTCGACTCGTACCTACATAAAATTCATCAGAAATCAACACACATGTCACGGCCCTCAATTAAATTTACCACAGCTGTTGAATTAGGTGAGGCATAACCACTGCTGTCAGCACTCAGCAGTTGGACTCGGCACAAGTGGTTAGGTAAATACACATAGGTATTACAGAGATACCTACGCATGTTTACCGCTCTAGGACAATCGGAAGCAGGGTCATATATAAAGAATCGGAAGGTCGGAACAGCGTCCTTTCGAATGTCCGTGCTTTTCAACTTCTGACTGTCGCTCACTCCACGGCAGTGGGTGTCAAGAGCGCTGGGTGTCGTGCACACAGTGTGCCAGTGGTTATGCCTAGCATTTTTCCCAGTGGCATAGATAACATGAAGTCATGAATCATGTAATCTATGATTCTAATTCATGTTATCTATGCCAGTGGCAATCCGAGGACAGAGTTCATAAATAGCGCCTGATATTCTCAGTTCAGAGTTTAAACCTGGAGCGCTTGGTGTTCAGTTCAATTAAATACAACAATTAAATGCTGTATTTTATTAACCAGTCATGGTGGCATAGGCGGATCCAGAAAGGCGGTGTCGAACGATGCCAAGGAACGCTGCGGGGGGGGGGGAGGGGGACTGATCCCAAAAAAGTGTTTCCAACTTCCAAAAGCCCCTCTGCCTCAGAAATCGATTCCTTACGCCATCTTACGCCATTCCGTTCAGTTTAAAGCAAACGTTTTCCAATAAAAGTTACTTAGTTTTATTTCTATACTAGAAACAAACGACGCGTTTTCGTCGATTTCGGGCGCTGACAGGGGGGCATTTGCCCCGAATGCCTCCCCTGGATTCACCAGTGCTCTGTGCCCGGTGACAGGTTGACCTGCGGCACGGCACGTGACCAGCCGGCCTGTGGTGCCACTGCGCGAGGCAGACTCGACAAGAAACAAAGTCCAGTCAGTCCAGGCATTTATCACGATATGGGTGGAATGCCGTGAGTCAGATTACTGAGACTGAGACCCGCGGGCATGAATCAGACTCATACGAACGTGTCACGAGATTCGGACATGCTGATCGAGCTTTAGGACCTTGACCTCTGTGTGTGAGTGTGCAAGTCTTATGGTCCGGAGACGTCACGCTGGTCAACACGAGTCGACGGCAGGTCTGCGGACCAACACGAGACGAGGAGACGTGGTTAGAACGGGCGCGCGACTGGCCCAGTTTAATTTCTGACAGAAAGGGGGCACCGTGCTGCACTGCGATAACTTTCAACACCAGCGGTTTTCTTACGTGCACGGTGCATACGCACCACTGAAGAGTCGGGAAGAACATAAGTGTAACTAATAACTATGCATACTACGGCTCTATTTTCGAAGGGCCAAACAAGGGTCAAGTGATAGCTAATGAGCCGGTTATGCAATTAATGTTTTTCATTGATCAGATATGGCCGAAGCTGGCGTCTGCTCACTGCGCGCAGTTACAAAAACGTGCGATGGTTTGTATGAACAACAGACAATCAGATCAGATCAGATCAGATTTTTCTCGGGGTGTTGGCTTTGCAACGCCACCCCATCCGTATTATCTTCGTCTGATATTTTATCGATTCGTGTGATCTTCCTCTTTGTCGTTCATTTGTTATTTCTACATCTCCATAATTGATATAAGTTGTTTTTCTTTTCCTCCATTGACTGGTGGCAGTCATTTTCAAAAAGGAAATCTTCTAGTACTTTATCATAGTCCTCGATATATGGTTGTTGGAGTGCCGTGATGGAGTTCCTAGCATCTTTCAGTGCGGGACAGAAGAGCACGAAGTGTTGGATATTTTCTGTTTCCTCCCCGCACAGCTCACAAGCGGTACTTTCATGACTGTGCCTTTTTCTATCATGCAATGGTAACGTATTCGTGCGAGCCCTAAATAGTATGCTGGATGCTGGTGTATTGTCGTATATTGTTTCTTCCTTAATTTCTTTCTTTCGGCGTTTGTACATTGATATACTCGTTTTATCGTTCATTTCAGAGAGCCACTGCTGACTGTCCCAAACTCTTAGCTTGTTCTTTACTGCACATTTCTTCATGTTTCTTAGCTCGGGAATTTGGAGTTGCACCATTGCCAGGTATTCAGCTGTAGCCTTTGCCCATTTTGTCCTTTTTTCTTCCAGCTGGATCCGGATGACTTCTTTTAAGAGTTCATTTGTCCCTTGCATTGTGCTTCTTATGTATTGCAGGTGGCCCTCCATGATCCTCGTTTTCATCTGAGATGCCCCCACGTCTCCGCGTAGAGTACAAGTTGGTGCATACCTCGGAGCTCCCAGTATTTGTCTATAAACGGAGTTTTCATAGATTTGTAGTTGCCTTGTTTCCTTGTCGCTTAGTGGTATGATGTTGGAGCCATAGAGTATTGATGGGAGCGCTAGACTTTTCCAAAAACATTTTCCAATCATTAGCTTGTTGCAGCTTTTACCGATCATGCCCATCGTCATATTAGACATTTTCTGAGCTTTTCGGATCATTGCCTTTTTATGCTCTTTAAACATGTTTTTCTTGTTGTTAATGGTTACTCCTAAGTATTTTATGTCGTTGACGACCGGTATTCCTTCGATCTCATTAGGTTGTTCTTTGCTGTTGTAGATGACTACGGCACTTTTCTCTTTGTTAATCGCCAAGCCAAAACTTTCGCTGGACTTCGCTAGTGCCTTCAACATGACCTTCGTGTCTTCCATAGATTGACTAATTATCAAACCATCATCTGCGAAGAATAATAACGGTATGTGTACGTGTTCGTTTCGGAACCCTTTTTCTGTCGCTGAAACACTCTTCATAATTAGGTATGTGACAATCTTGAAATAGCTCGTGCTTCCGGTACAACCTTGTTTTATCCCACTAGTTACTTCTATTTCTTCTGTAATGTCCTCATTGAGCTTGGGTTTCCTCATTGAGGAAACCCACAGTGACCCGACAGTGACACAGTGAACCGACAGTGACCCACCCTCATTGAGGGTGGGTCACTGTCGTTAAAAAGAGGAAGAAAATAATGAGCAACGAAGCCAGGGAACTGCCCTGCAGAAAAGCTAATATGACGGACAATGGATTGGAGACAGACGCACAAAAGGCTAAATCATATCGTGAAGAAGAGAGGGAAGAAAAAATAGAAGAGAGCGACATTGACGCCAGCAAAAACGAAGATGATGGGGCTTGTCAGGGAGGCCCAAACGGACAATGCGGAGGGAAAATACTGCGTAAAGACCGAGGCTTGTGTTGCGATATATGCTCCAAGAGGTACCATGCTGACTGCCAGAAAGTGACAGCAGAGGCATATGTCGCCTTGCATGATCACAAAGAGCTGAATTGGATCTGTCATGCATGTAAAGAAGAAGTTAAAAGGAGTAAAAAGGACATCATGTCATCAAAGAGACTTGACAATTTTCTGTCAGAATTTACGAAACAGGCAAGCGTGATGAAAGAAACAGTACTCAGAGGCCTATCGGAGGCAATGTCAGAATTGGAACGTTCAGTTATGAGTAAGATCAATGAAAGGGCTTCGGAGAAAGAATCAGAAGCAGAGAAAAGCATGGATGTGCTAGATGCCAGCCAACAAAATGAAGTGAAAAGCAAGCCGAATGAAGAGCAGAAAACCATAGAAAACCCAATGGCAATGAACAAGGAAGCAGAGCATGCTAGCACAAACCCAACAATTCAGAAGATCATTGAAGAAACGGCTACATACGCACAGATAGCAAACAGAGCAGAGGAAAACATACTGAAGATTTGCTCTAAAATGGAAACAAGCACTGCAACCATCGACCAAAACTTGATCAAGGAACAACAAGAAACAATGAAGAAGCTTGTTCAATTGCAGGAGAAGGGAGATCGTGCTATGAATGTAATTATACACAATGTGGAAGAAAGTAGCTCAAAGAACATTGGAGAGAAAATGCAGCATGATATTACAAAGATCAGGGAAGTCGCA